GCGGGGAGCCCAGGCGTCGCCGCCCCAGAGCCCAGAGTTTCCAACTCTTGGCTTATTTTGCAAAGTAAACAAGCAAATGTTATGTGCATAACCTTCGCTGTCTCGCTAAAGGTCAGCGCGCCCCTGCTCGTTTCCCGGGCCGCCTTTTGGGGGCACTGTGACGCCGGGATTTCCGCGGGTGTTCGGGGGAGACAAGACGCGCTCGCCTAACAAAGACTCAATCTACAAAGGCTGCTAAACAAAAACATTGATTACATTTGAGCCGGGGCGGGGAGGTTTACGTCCGTGTATCGCATAGCAGCTCCGTGAGCGCTAAGTAGCGAGCGGGCTGGGCGGGGGGCCGGGGTGTCCCCTGTGCCCAGGAGCTTTCCCCAGACCCTTCTTGGAGAGGAAAAGTGCCCCCCTGGCTGGCTCCTACCATAGCTGCCCAGGACCGGGCTGCACGGAAATTCAGGAGACGGGCGGCTGGGTTCAAACACTCCGTTTAAGGTTTCTTTTAAATTGCATTTTTGTCCGAAGGGGCATCTCCCTTTTCAAATCTTCGGGGCTACTTTCATTTAAGCAGAGAGATTTCACACCGGGGTACACAAGTCTGAACTCAAGAAAGAACCAGGCATGAAAAAAAACACACACCACAAAAACCCCACATTTATATGTGGGCATAGGGAGCACACAGATACACAATTAAAAAAAAATTGGCTGCTTAAAAATCCCCAGTTAGGTCAGGTTAAATTTATTATATTCTTTTATAGCTGAACGCGATGGTTTTGAGTTGAGGTGACAGCTGAGACGCACCAGAAACCTTTGGAATTCCAGTGCTATATATCACTATGAGGAAGAAAATAAAGTTCTACCATTAGAAGGTGGGCGCTTGCCTTAAAATGTTCAAGGAGGGGGGGGGGAAAGATGTTAATTTTCCCCTGAAATTCTTTTTTTCGAGTATGAAGCGAGTTACACGAGCAGAACAGCCAGCTAAGCACAATATAAACATAGCTGGGAAACTCTGCCTTGCTCCAGGTTGAACATGTTCTCGTTGCTCTAATGACTAGGGAAGGATCGCTCGTAGTTTTGACTGAAAACACCTAATTTGGTTAATGTGTATTTTTCTCCTTCTGAAGAGTGTCTTCGGAGCGGGCCTCTTAGCTGGGCGTATTCGTGCCACGGGCACCGCTGACCCGCGATAACGTCCACCAGGACATAATGTGAATCTTTTCACACAGAGCTGCCAGGGGCTGGCCACAGCTCAGTGCCAAGGAAATGCCAGGGAAGGACTTTTTTTAACCCCCTGTAAAAAAACACACACAAAAAAACCCTTCCGTTTTAAGAGACGTCCATTCATACAGGCCCTTTTTTTGGCTTTCCTGTTAAAATCACCTCCGACTTTAGAAAATAGATTACATATGGGCTCCCTTCTTGAAACGGTATCTGTGTCCAGTGGCAAGCACCTTACACTGTGGCCCGTGTCTGCAGTGG